TTGTCGCAGGTCCAGGATGGTTTGGAGCGAGTAATCATGGAATCATTGAAGACCAATAGTACACAACAAAGAAAGAAAGAACTACTAGTTATTATATTTGTCACATATTAATGTCACTACTTACATGGTGGGGAGTTCACGATTTGTGTGAGTCATGTGTTGCTGAATAGGCCAATAAAATTTGAAATCCTAGAAGGTATGACTGCACACTTAATATGGACAACTGCAATAGTATAGCTTTATTGGGTATAGCACAGGAATTCAAAGGGGTTATATCATAAGCCAGTGTAATTGTGATCATTCATTGAATGTTCAAATCTCATATGCCACAGCCAAAGCCATTGCCTAAGCAGTGATAACAAACCAAATATACAGTGACAATTCTGTATTTGGATGGGCACCAAGAATGACCACTTAGAAAATTTGGAAAAGCAACTGAAGGAACAAAGGATAGCATGCTAAGGTAAAGAACAACCATCACAAACTGACAAATGTAGTATGATGCAGAAGACATCAGGCACTTATATAGTCAATTATGAGTGCAGGATGACATATTGTACCATCACTATGAAGCAATAAAATGTAGTAGCCAACCCGTGATGCATTCAATGGTCCACAAAGTTATCAGGAAATACTTCAGATTTTGTATAATGCAAGTGTCGCTAATATGTAAAAGTGGTAGTGCTGTTTTTCTGGTTGCATTTGTAAAAAAACATAGACACTCTACCCCTTGTACTGCTCAGAGTAGAAAAATACAGCTGTATCAAGGAAGACTATGTCAGAGAGTTGTGTGTTGTTGTTTTTCTGTCGAGAGAATCACTTAAGATATAGCTGGTTCTTTGCCAAATAGATTGAAGGATAATCTATATGTTCTGATTGTTATTTATTATTCACAAAGTATCCTAAATCTTATCTTTTCATTTACATCTTAGCAAAATATGTCACAGTTTTGTTGGTTGAACAATGAATAGCATGTTTTAGAGCAGCTGGAGAGATCCACACATATCAAAGGGTTAACTTCAACAGCCATCAGTAAGCCGAATAACGTTAGGTGTCGTTAAAAAAGTAAAGTTCATAATACATTTTTTGTTTGTTTGCCTGTAGTTAAGCACAAAGCTACAAAATGGGCTATCTGTGCTCTGGCCACCACGGGTATCGAAACCCGGTTTCTAGCATCGTAATTCCGCAGACTGACCACTGTGCCACTGAGGGCTTCACCACACAATTCCCAGATTGATGGTTTGGCTGAACAGACAATACAGACTGTCAATCCTATGCTTGCTAAGTATGTTAACCCTGTTGAAATTGTTTGGGATGAGCATCTATTGTTTGTCATGATGCCAAACTGTACACTGAGCAGCAATTACTTGGTTGTTCTACAAATCACTTGATGAGTGGACAAGACATACATCTACTGTTGGATCCGATGTATAGTCCTATATCCAGTGTAAATGTGCATAGCGTTTTCACAAAAGGAAAATGGTTGTGTTTTGCAATAGTTGATGAACATGAATTTGTACATCACTGTTATGGATAAAATGCTTTTGTGTTAAATGAGATGTTATGACAAAACAGTAACTGAATGGAAGTTCGATCCTGCTAACCTGGTCTGGCTAAGGTACATGCTGGCAGCAAATAACTCAACTTTAGCTGGACTGCTCTGTGTCTTGTCTTTCAGCAGCTCATTGGGGTGAATTGAGTTACAGAGGTTGTGTGTGAGGTGTATCGAATCTGACTATGAATACACCAGATCAACATATCATTTCATTTCAGCTGATGAGACGAAGAGGTAGTAAATATTTGGTTATTTTTGAGGAATCAGATGAAATACTAATAGGTTGACCAGCAGATAGGATTGGTCAAAACATTAACAGCTAAATAGAAATTTCATCTTTCACTTTCCAAGCTATCAAGTGATATTTAGTAGTGAGATGTTGGTCTACAATAATCATTCGATCTATCTAACTGTATTGTAGAATTTCTGAAGAGAAGATCACAAAAAACACAGGAAAATCTAGGACAACCGATCTTGTTAGATAAGATATTATAGAAGTTGTCAGTTTATTTTGACTATTGAATGTAATAAATCAACATGCTGAAAGGACTTTGCAATCCTTGCTTTTTGAGTTTTTTGGTTGTGGCAAATTGAGCGAGACATTTGCTGGTGAAAACTTTCTGAGAAACTCACTATCTTGCACATAAATCGAAATGATTTTAGGTTGTGTTGGTATCCAAGATTGCACCTGGCAGTCTCATCAGCCTTCATGAAGTGCAGTCAAAGGGTTGTGCTCTAACACAGTATGATAAATTGACATATATTGTATACATGTGAAATGTGCATCATTTTGCTATGTTTGTATTTAGGTTATTGTTCGTGTTTATTTGGTGTAATGGGGTTTCGCGAACCCTAACTGTCTGTACAAATCAAACAAAAACTGTGATTCGGGGTGATTGTTTTGTTTCAATGGGAAAAGTAAGTTTCCGTCTTCCCTCCTGTTCCTAATTCACTGGATTACATGTCTATGTGTGTGTTTTGTAGCTGTTGACATTATATGTGAGAATTATTCTGTCTGAGATTGTTTTTATTTTCATGATATAGTTTGAGTTCGATTACTGTGACTCTTAAGGTGGCACCTGAGACCTTACATTTATTTTAATTAATGTGGAGATAGTAAATGACGCTGGCGTTAGTTTCCATGAAAACCACGCTAGCTGCCGAACGTTGACTGTATAGTACATATTAGTTAATATGTGATATTGAGATGGATACACAACATGTGTATATTTTTAATAATATAGATGAAACATTGCAATAACGAATGTAATATATATATATATACAAGAGCACATTTTTTAGCTAGTAAGGAACTTCGCCTGAAATGTTGAGATGTTGTATATTTGGTAATGACCACATAAATAAGCTTACAGAAAGACACTAAGTGTGTTCTGTGTTTTCCTAGTGGAGGTGAAAAATATGTTTTCGGATTTGGTCCCAAACTGGATTATACGTAACTGTATGACTTCTCACCCACAGAAAGCACTGGAGTTGCTTTAGAATTTACCCCATGTCAGATGTGAAATGTGGATGGCCTATGGTAGTGCTTATTAATGTTGGTAAAAGGAAACAATTGTGATGTTTGTAGATTATGTGTCTCAGTTTTAATAAAGTAAATTACGATTACTTGTTTGTTTAGAATGGAAGCAAACAATGTATCTATTGTTTTTGATTAATTTTATTCAGAAATATGTTTGACTTGTACATGAAAACAACTTCCAAACTTGGCGAATATTGCTGAACATTTCCTCTCGTTATTATTTCTAACAACGTAGTTCTAATACATGAAGTTTATATTAGTTACAAGAATATAACTGTGTTTATTTTTTAAAACCAAACTTATTCATTCATTTGGATTATATTCAACATGTGTCAGGAAGCAAGTTGGAGTTGTTTGACCCCTAAAGTTAGGAAAATTTTTTAGTTCTAATTATAAAGAACCACTTTGCAGTCATCACTTTCCCAGTGGAATTAGGTTCTACTAAGGGAACCATATATTGGTAGGAGACATCATATTTCTCAGGTGGCAGATGAAATTACTATGGTTACTGCACATGCATAACCTGGAGTAAAGCTAACTGCATCAACTTGGTTATGTTTTCAACCCATTGTTACTGTCTGAATTCCTGTTCTTCCTGTGGCTAAACCCTCTGAACATCTTTGAACTTCACCAGTCAATGAGTTATGAGTCTTGTAAAATGCTTGACACTTTGCACTGTTCAGAGGGCTATTGAAAACCATCCAAGAAACTTGAAGACCCGCCCAACGCATTGGATGCATTGTCATCAAACAGAATTGTGGGCTATCAATGTTTCAGAATAAGTATTCTCCCGCTTCTTTAAAAGTCATCACACCTATTTTGTAGTCATTACTTTCCACAACAAAACATGTATGTTGTTGTTGAGAGATTCTTTGGCGCCCAAGTGGAGTATTATATAAAAGAGGAAAGGAGGAGGTTAGTGGATTTCTATTTCCTGCTTTCTAAAGTAGTATTTTTATTCATTTATATAATCTGTCTTTGATGTAAAGAAGTTAAATAGATCTACGGAGTTCTTCACGTCTAAACCACATGACTGATAAAACAGCTTGCTGTTAAAAGTGTCCATAATCCGTGATGGTCTAGCAGCCTACATCAACAGGTAGGCCTGAAACTTTTAAAATACTATATATATATATGTGTATATAGTCTACAGTTTGATGTTGGTTTATCTTATGATATTACCTTGTATTTGTGTATTTTGTAATTTTGTTATCTATTTATCCTTGTACTCAGTTTGTTCTATCTGGTGGTTTCATTCAGTTTAATTTTATTTTCGCTCCCTGGTGGCTCAGCAGTAAGACTCAGGGCTTATAACAATAAAAATATTACTCTGTATAACATTTCTGGATACTTGAACTGTCTGACTTATAACAGTGTACCTAAATGCCACAATAATGACAAACTATCTGTAATTCTCGCGTTTGATATTTATGTAGTCGATCATATATGTCACATATTTCGTTCCATAATCTGATACTTTAATAAATTGAAGGATTTCGATAACGTTTACATTATTTGATGTGTACATACCTAATCTCATTGTCGACAATTTGCAAAAATTCAAGATATGATACATTTAATGAGTCTGTTAAGCATGCCAAAACAAGCACTAAAAATGCCCAGAACAGAAAGCGTTTTTTAAATAATTTGTTGGAAAAAAAGATGAAATTTATCTAAACGACACGCTTCCTTTTAAAAGGATTTGACAACATTGATTTGATTATATCTTTAAATAACAGTCAACTCAGCGTTTAAAACGTTATAGTATGAGTTTAAAAGAAACATATTAAAAACAAAACCTAGATTTACCAATAACATTTTGTACCTTTTCCTTAAAAAATCTGATATAACAAGAAAGAATTAACCTAAATATGCTAATAATTCCCTAGAACTTATCATTACGTCTTTACTTACACATTGTTGATTTTAAATGAATCGAAAAACTCCACGTGAATCTTTGGAAAATTTACGAATCAAGTAAAATTTATTGAAAAAACTCGACAATCTGATAAACCGTCTCAGTGTCACCAAAGCTCGATAGTTGAGATGTACCACTGCAGCGGTAGATGCCATAATCATCGTTTAAAACGTCCTTGATACGAAGGACAGAAATATCACGAAAGTCTCGAACGTTGTAACGGTAGTTGTCAATTTCAATATCGTGAAAGGAACATCTAGGACAGTCATAAGGAGGTGGATCGTGGGCGTAGGGGTAAGGCCCTTCAATCTTCTCCCAAACAACATTCTAAAAGAAACAAAGAAGTAATAACATTCACTGAAAATGTTAATTACTTTCAACATTATATTGCAACTGTATTTTAATACAGTGATGACACTGTGAAATATTTGCTGATGAAATAACATAGTGTTATCAAGCTAGTTTTACCGATGCGCACATCGAGCAATGAAGTCCCCATCAGCACAGATATTCCATTGTGTAGCTTTGTGTTCAACTACAAACAAACGAAAAATTAGCTGCTTCAACTTCGTGTTTGAACACATACTCTCCGAAGGATAAAAAAAAAAAAGATAAAAACTATCTAGGAAACTAGAAACGGTGCTAGAATGAAATGTATTACAAAGTTCACAGTTTTAATAGTATAAAAAAACTTTGGAAAATATATTACACAGCATCTAAAGAAACTTAAAAATGTGTTAAGCTATATAAATTTATATCACAGATTATATTTTATTTGTATAGGGCAAAGCTAATTAATGGACTATTTATCTACACCGTTTGTCGTGTGTTGGCCAATAATGGCCTGTAGTAGTTAACGTGTCAGACTGTAGATCTGTGATCTACTTATTGTTGTTGCTAAGTGCAAAGCTACACCATGAGCTATCTGTGGTCTGTCCACCACGGGTATTAAAACCCGATTTGACGCATTATGAGCCCTTAGTCTTACGCTGAGCCACTGAGGGGTGTGGTCTATAATTCGTGTCCTGTTACCGTCAACAAAATCTTCACTGCTCAAAACTAGATCAAATCATGACAGCTACTAACTAGGTTAATATTATAGACAAACATTATATAAAATAAAGATTTTGTGGAGCTTCTAAATACATAATCCCTATTTTTCTGATACGCTTTTCTTAACTATACGATTTCTCTAATGCAGAGGTACCCAAACTTTTTAGAATCGCGACCCACTATTCATGACCACAGCTTATGGCGACCCACTCAAATTTACTGGGCAAAAACATATGAAAGAATATAAAAAAATATTATTTATTCATATTCACGTATTTCAACTACATTTAAAAATACCCACGTATTTTCAATAACATTTCCAGAACTTATAAATGCTATCTAATTGATTAATAATGAGGCGTGTGTGAAGAATGTGCTTGTTTCTTGTTACTGTCAACATCAATCCTTACGCCTGAAACTAACCCACAATTTGACAA